GAGCTGGAGGCTAAAAAACCGTGAGCCAGCTCACCCTAACTCAGAGGGAACACTGGTCGGGGCACCATCTCCTGCTCCCCCCCCCGCCCCCGGTGCCTTCCCCGCAGGGCTGTGGCTCCGCCGCCTGCCCCTCGGAGGGAGTTTCCCGTGGCCCCCTCCCCCACCCTCCCTTGTTTTGCCGAGAGAAATCTGCACCAGCAAAAATAATGAAACGATCCATCTCCAATCTGCTCAGCAGCCACGGAGAACCGGTTTCCAGCACACGCCACTTTTATCAAATTGGTATTCACCGACTGAACACAGGCGGCTTATTATACCCGACCCACTTACTCACCGCTTTGCTTCTCGGCCTCGTTAATAAAGGGCTCGCTGGTGATTAAGTGAGCAGCTGCAGAGGCCCGTGCGGCCCCAGCCAAATGTGTGTCCCCCACCCCTATAGGAACCAGACCCTGACAGTTGGGTCTCCTTCCAGCACCTCTTCTTGAGGGAAGAGTCGGGCTGTCTGGCAGCCTCCAAGGGCCCCTGGACACTGCTGGGGGTTGCCAGAGAATACCACAGCTGAATCCTTGAACGCAGGGAGCGGCTGTCTACTGAGTCAGACGACCCTTGGCCCATTCAGATCGGGATTGTCTGCTCAGACTGGCAGCGGCTCTCCAGGGTCTCAGGCAGAGAGAGGTCTTTCCCGTCCCCTGCTATCGAAGCCTTTTCGCTGGAGGAGCCGGGGATTGAAGCCGAGACCTTCTGCAGGCCAAGCAGAGGCTCTACCGCTGAGCCACGGCCTCCCCTCTCCCCCGCTTCTGCGCTGGCTGGAAAGGGACGGAGCTCACGCGCCTGCTCTCTTGACACCACCGCAGAGCTGGCCGCTGACCCTCTCTCAGTCTTTCGGCAGCCAGACGGCGGCATCCCAAAAAGGGCCAGCGACAGTGTTCCCTCTAAGCTGAGTGAGTGTGAGCTGGCTCACCGTTTTCTAGCCTCTGGCTCACACATTTCTTCTCTTAGCTCAGGCAGGATGGCTCCAGAGCAAACTACTCTATCCAGCAGCCAAATGGCTCACTCACAACTGTAATGCCAGCAGCTCACCAAGTAGAATTTCTGCTCACAAGACTCCACAGCTTAGAGGGAGCATTGGTCAGGAGCAGTGTTCCCTCTAAGATGAGTTAGTGTGGTCTTTTCTAGCTTTCCCTTTCATATCCGCTTGATCAAATACCAAGAGATGTTATTCGGTTAGGAGCACGGACTCTAATCTGGGAGAACCGGGTTCGATCCCCCACTCCTCCACATGCAGCTGCTGGTGTGACCTTGGGTCAGTCACAGGTTCCCTCAAAGCTGTTCTCTCAGGAGCAGTTCTCGAGAGAGCTCTCTCGGCCCCACCTACCTCACGGGCAGTGTTCCCTCTAAGCTGAGTGAGGGTGAGCTGGCTCACAGATATTTTAGCCTCCGGCTCACCCATTTTTGCCTTAGCTCAGGAAGGAGGGCTCCGGAGCAAACTACTTTATGCAGCAGCCAAATCGCCTGCTCACAACTGTAATGCCAGGAACTCACAAAGTAGAATTTTTGCTCACAAGACTCCACAGCTTAGAGGGAGCGTTGGCCGGTGACTGCAGCTTCTGGGCCGGCTCTGGGTCCCCCCCCCCCGCGACGCTGCTAGAGCCTCCCTCCCACCAGTTGCAGAGTCAAGTCCGGCCTCCTTCCCTGGCCAGGGACAGGCTTTTCATGCAGCATGAAGAGGCGGGGAAGGGAGGCTTCAGGAGGGGGCTGGGGCTTTTGGCCACCCCCCAATGCCGGTCCTCCACCATCCCATTGGATCCCGCAGACCCCTTTTCCTGCTGTGCCCCTCTCTGGCTCTGTGGAGACCCCGTTTCTTCTCCGTCTCAGAGCTGTTTTGCCCGCTGCACTGCCGATCCTTTGCCTCGAGTCTGAGGAGGAATAATCCACCGTGCCCCACTCCACTCCTTTAAGGGCCCATCTCTGGGGAAAGGGACTCTATAAAAGACACAACCCCTCCAGGCACCCCTACGGAATGTCCCCGATGATCTCTGGAAAGAGCTGGAGGTTTGGCCAGTCTACAAAGGCAGGATCCAAAGACCCCGGCCCCTGTGAGGTTTGCCGTTCAAAAAGGCCGTGTGGGTCACTCCCCTAGTATACCAGAAGTCCTGCTGGATCAGACCAAGGGTCTCTGCTGTTTTCAGTTGGTGCCACCGTTCCCTCTAAGCTGAGTGAGTGTGAGCTAGCTCACTGTCTTTTAGCCTCCGGCTCACAGATTTTTGTCTCAGCTCAGGGAGGATGGCTCCAGATCAAATCAATTTATGCAGCAGCCAAATCACTGACTCACAACTTTAATGCCAGTAGCTCACAAAGCAGAATTTTTGCTCACAGGACTCCACAGCTTAGAGGGAACACTAGCCAGATGCTTCAAGGGAGTGTTAAAGCAGGGCACGGAGGAAACAGCCTTTTCCCGGGGCTAGTCCTCTGCCCCCCAGTGCCCAAGAAACCACTTGGAGTGGCACGATGAGGAAGCCACCAATGCTTGGCAGGGGCTTCGCTGGCTCCCAGCTGTCAGCAGCACAGGGGGTGACGGGCATCCCTTTCTTGGATGGAGCTGGGGCTCAGTGGCAGAGCCTTGCCTTGGCATGCAGAAGGTCCCAGGTTCAATCCCCGGCATCTCCAGTGAAAAGGACCAGGCAGGAGGTGATGGGAGAGACCTCCGCCTGAGACCCTGGAGAGCTATGGGAAGGGGCCGTGGCTCAGTGGAAGAGCCTCTGCCTGGCATGCATAAGGTCCCAGGTTCCATCCCCGGCATCTCCAGCTAAAAGGACCAGGCAGTAGGTGATGGGAAAGACCTCAGCCTGAGACCCTGGAGAGCTATGGGAAGGGGCTGTGGCTCAGTGGAAGAGCCTCTGCCTGGCATGCAGAAGGTCCCAGGTTCCATCCCCGGCAGCATCTCCAGTTAAAAGGACCGGGCAGGAGGTGATGGGGAAGACCTCTTTGCCTGAGACCTTGGAGAGCTATGGGAAGGGGCTGTGGCTCAGTGGAGGAGCCTCTGCCTGGCATGTAGAAGGTCCCAGGTTCAATCCCCGGCACCTCCAGTTAAAAGGACCAGGCAGGAGGTGATGGGAAAGACCTCCGCCTGAGACCCTGGGGAGCTTTGGGAAGGGGCTGGGGCTCAGTGGAAGAGCCTCTGCCTGGCACGCAGAAGGTCCCAGGTTCCATCCCCGGCATCTCCAGATAAAAGGACCAGGCAAGAGGTGATGGGAGAGACCTCAGCCTGAGACCCTGGAGAGCCACTGGCAGCCTGAACAAACAACACTGACCTGGGTGGACCAAGGATCTGCTTCAGTTTAAGGCAGCTCAGTGTGGGTCCTTGCTGCTGCTGGCTTGGCCCCGACAGATGGTGGCACTGGCCCAGGAGGGGGGTGAGTGTGCCTTGCTTCAGGTGCCAAGATACTCTGACCCAGCCGCGCCTCCCCCCCCCCAATACTCGGAGAAGACAACAGTGTTAGCAGGTATTGCCTGATATGATCCCAAAGAGCCCTTTGCACTACAGCGCCAGGGGGTGGCCTTTTCCTGAAGTCTGTATGGCTCTGGGCTCTGTCAAGAAGCTCCAGGATGTGCCCTTGGAAAGCCGGCTGGCTCAAGAGGGACTGGCGATTTCCCACGACTGTCTATGGGGGGTAGTGACTGCAAAGGTCCTTGAAAGAGGGGCTGGTAATCGAGGTAGGTGGACCCCCGGAGGAGGGCAAGCCCTACCAAAAATTGGAGAACGGGGCATGGGGCAGAAAGCTCTCCCATAGTCGGGGCCCCACCTGTGCCTGCGCACATGCATTTTTTTTTTTGCACATGCCACAGAGCCCAAGATTTTTGCTCTTTTGCAGGAATATTGGGGGGGGGCATTTTAGACCCTCGCGGTCCCCCAATACCCTCTCTCTCTCGCTCCTGGCTTCCTGGTTCCTCTGGCTTCATTCGGCACACCTAGAGACTAAGTTGGCCTAAGGATCAAAGCTTTCAAACACGGGGGGGGGGGATATCTGGGAAAGACCCCCCACACACACAAGTCCTCGGGTTCCTTTGGGTACATTTGCCAGTTTCCCAGCAGAGAACGCCAGACCCCCTTTTCCACCTACCCCCCCCCCCGTTCCTTCGAGACACACAGTCCCCCGTGCGCGCACTTTGGGATCGATGAATGAACGGTCGTGGATCGCCCCACGCATTAATGTCCCCGGGGAAGGGGGGGGGAGGCAAGCAATGGGAAACTGCAGCCCCCCCCCCCAGCAGTCCCCGCAGGTCGATGTCCGGCAGGTCAAGCCGGTGCGGGTGTAAGAGCCAGGCTTGAAGAGAGGTCCAGTCCGCACACCCCACTACGACCAAGAGCTCCCGAACCGCGGACTCTCTGCCTCGCGCGTATTTCGCGCGGTTAACTAACGCCATTCCCTGGTCCTCCGCCCGCCCAGCAGGGGGCGCCCGATTTCACGTCTCCCAGCGCGTTGGCACTTCGTATCGTACAATCCGGAATACCCAGCACCACTGCGGACAGTAACTAATTCGGAGCGGGGGTCTTCCCTGCCTGCCTGAACTGGGTGCTTCTGCAGGTGGGGTGGAGGGACCCACCCTTTTACTCCGCTTTAACCCCCCCCCCAACAGCCACAGTGGGGTGGGGGGAAGGGGATCTGAGTCGAATTGAGGGCTGCTGGCCGCGCATCCCCCGAGAAGCGGTCCCCGGGCGGCCCTCCCCCCCCCGGCCCTCCCTGCGGCTGCCCCCTTTCCGCGCGCCCCCCACC